TATGACATGATTTCTGTCAAGTTATTTTTATGCCAGTAGCTATTTGGATGTGGTCAGTTTTCCTCTTATGTCCCCATACCTTATCATATAGTGACTCATACTGATAACACACTGTGAGAATTATCAAAAAAGTAAGGAAAAGATATCTTATCCAACTCAATAATATAATTCCTATATAACACACCAAAAACCATCAGATTTAGGCAAGGTTTAAGGGGAATGAAGCAGGCATTGTTTGAAAGAACCATTACTAGCTATAGATTTATGATAAATACCCTGTCATTACCCATAGGTCTAATAACTAGCCAAATCTTTTCCAGGGCATCAAACATATAAAGTGGTATCACATTCTATATATAGTATCAAATCACTGAACTAGTGTATATAGCCATCTGTATGATATCAAGAATGATGATATGGAATAACAGCTCTAACTGGACTGGGTAATTATGGTCCTAATCACAATGTAACTGGTGTTAATTTATTTAATTTCCTGTTCTCTGAGTCCTTTATTCATGCAAAGTCAACAAGATTAACTGTTGCCAATAATTCTATGACTGTGTATCTTCCCCTCTTTTTAACTATAGCCTGCTGCTGCCACTACTATAATTGTGCATGCACATGTGCACGCACACACAAAGTGACACACACATTATCAACCTGTAACTTTTACAAATTGGGAAATTTTAAGGTCATAACTTGCTATTTCCTCACCCTACTCTCCTTCCTTCCATATGTACTTCCATGTGTACTTTTATACCCGAGTATTAGTCTCAATACATTTTAGCATAACAAGGCTCATGCCAAATTTTCATCAAAATTCTTACACAATTCATAGGGAAAAGGAAATACAGCACCTCAATTTTTCAATTTCTTTTCACGAGAAGAGAATAAATGAAAAAAATAACCAAGTTTAAAAAATCTCATGAACAGTGGCATAATCCAGGATAATTATAATCCTACTTACTGCAGGGACAGGTGGGGGTTTATTGCTGTGCCCAATGGCTGGTTTCTCCCCAGGTTTAGGTGGTCTGGGTGGTGGTGGGGGTGGGGGCATATCATCATCATCAGGCGCTGGGGGCGGGGCAGGCCTACGTCCAGGTGGTGGAGGCACTGGAAATAAACAAAAGTGTTACAGTCTGTACCAAAACCACTTTTTTGAACAGTGTTTCTTGATATACAATAATAAATTATGTAAGATCATAAGTGTCTATGTAATACTTGTCAAAATGTACATTTTGGCAAACTATATATTTTTTATGTTGGGTTGCAATAAATAACATCTGTAAAGAAATATTCTAATACATAACTGCAGTCTCTGTACCTGCCCTAATGACAAATCCTTATTCCAAATAATCACATCCTAAAATATTCCCTGATCCATCAATTTGTTCAGATGCCATCTCTTCCTACATGAATTGTACCCTACTGTAATACAAGAACATAACTTATTTCACTCCTTTAATAATGCTTAGTCCCAAGTGCTGGTAGAACTATAAACTTTATCAACTCACTTGGCTCAACACTGCTGTGTGACAAACGTCTCTTCACAGACGCATAAAATTTCACAACAGCATCCATTTCCTTTAGGACCAGCAGAAATGACCATTACAAAACCGCAGTGGACACAGATAATATCTGTTCTATATTTTCAACCATGAAGTTCCCTGTTTAACTTAGAGAATGGTTAAAATTTCCACCATGTATGTGTTTATATCGCAGCAATCTCAGTGAGAACAGCCGATGAGACAAATGAAGTGTTTATACTGAGGAATGGCTATAGTCATGTACATAATTGTTGGGACCATTAAGGAAAATTCTTTGCACTTAATGGTATCCCGGACAGAGAAAGTTGATTAACAGATTTGTAAGGGCTGTGCTGAATTATATTGAAACATCTCTCATGTGTAGTTAATAAATAATCATTAAACTCTTAATTAAATCATTGAGTCAACAGAGATTGCTTGTGTAAAAATTACCACCTATAGATCAAGTGAGTGATCTTGCACTTTACAGATAAAATAGTGCTTTTTTACTGTGGTATTCATTAAGGGGCCATTTGAAGTTTCAGATTGTTTTTTCATAAATCATGCCTACAAGATGGCTGATCAAAAGAAAAGGTCCAGCAAACATAGCTCAATGTACGCCATAGTCTTTTTTCATAAATCAAAAAAAATCTGATTACAAAAATGGGACCATGATGATAAAAAAGAGGTTTAATTACAGGGTCAAGAGTGATAAAGCAGACTCTGCTAGATCCTCTCAACTGAATCATTGGTTGTATGTCTGTCAAGGTCTTTGTATCTCTAACTTGAGATTATTTTCAAGAGTTATATCCAAAAAAAAAAAAAAAAATTAAATCAGAAAAGGAGGGCTGATAAAACTATATATGCTCTGGATGTAAATGTTCTGAATACGCCTACATTACATTACGCACCTGTCAAAATCACCCATACACAATAGGTGTCGCTGCATGTCATGTTTTGTAAATAATAGTTCATATATCATGTTTTTGTTGTTTTTTTGTTTCTACTCAAGTAAATGTTACTTTTACATTAACAACACCATTAGCAATAAAATCTTACATCAATCTTATTTGAATATATATTTCTCCTGTTGCAAAAATTGCTTCAATCAACATTAAAATAATTGTGTTCAAAAGACTGTTTTCAACCTTTTCAAAAGATTTTTAATCACTTAACATATTTTCTTCAAGCGGAATGTTAATAGCCTCTTGTTTCCACTTTTCACATATTTGTATCCTATGCAGTGTAAAAGAACATGTGGCATACTACAAGAAATGTGACATTTGAAATGTAATAAGTGGTAGTACATGTAGCAGTATGAATGTGTGTGGCAATATGGGGGACATTCTCACTAAAACGAGGTCCAATTTATCAGAAGAGACTGCTGGTCAAATAAACCCTCTTTGCATTCATGCTGGTATCGGCAATAATAACCCTTGTCAATAGTGTTTCCTGTTAAGCATGTGCACTATCATTCTCAGTAACCAGTGACGATATGACCATTATGGTTGGAGTACAAGTAGCAATGATTGTTATGCTATATAAATATATTAAATTTATTCATAAAAAGTAATGTTTCCACTAAAAAATGACATGTGGGACTGTACTGTGATTAACCTGCAAAAATATGATACATTGCCCACTTGTGCCCATGACTTCCAAATGTAAGCATCCCATCTATACTGTGATTTTGAGTTAACTGCAATAAAACCAAGTCCAGATCTGGATTTATTTGTACCACAGTCAGGGGTATGTAGTCTGTTCACATAGGAAAAGTAACCATGATAGGACAGAGTCAGGTGTAAACCACCAGTGTGAATGGCCCTATGGTTTATAGGAAGATTCAGAAATTAGGACTGTGTAGTAGTAGTAGTAGTAGTATGGCTGTGTGTAGATGAAATGACTAAATGCTGTTTAATTTGTATAAATTGCATTTCCAGCAAATTCTTATCAAGTACAATGAACAAACACACACATACCCCAGTACACACACACACACACACACACACACACACAAACACACAAACACACCACCTTTCACTATAAGCTTAATATATCACAAGCACTTCAGGCAAAGGCAACTTCTAAACATTCTTCACTAAACTGGGAAAATATCAAGTATTAAAAGCATTTTGCCATTCTCAGTTGCTCAGGATCAACATTTTTACCTTACTTAAAAAAGGATATCATTAAACTCCTTGTTCACAGGGACAAGTCACAGTGACTGTGTCGCTCTACTCCTGGCACTGCTGTACACAAAAAGCTGCATTACATGTTCTCTGTATCACAGCAAAAATAGCAGTGTATTATTCACCTTATGATAATTAGCTAAATTTCAGGCTTTTTTTCACCTTGATAACATTCCTGAGACATCCCATGTAGACTTGGCCGCACGTTTAAAAGAAATTGCAGTATATTATTCACCTTATGATAATTAGCTAAAGTTCAGGCTCTTTTCACCTTGATAACATTTCTGTGATATCCTATGTTTTATTGTGCCCTAGTTCATTCAGTAAATTACACGTGGTCATAAAAAGGAAATAAAATCTGCAAATTAAATTCTGTTATCAGACATGACCTAGTTGAAGTTTGACAATTTTACCCGANGCAGAACAGTCCAAAAGTGCAACATAACGACCAAATATATTAAGGTTAATTTTTTTACTAGAATTCTTCCAATCGAAATAATCTGAATACTTCAATCATAAATTGTAATCTGCATGAGTCATCATATACTGAATTCTTACCTTTTCATATTTTAACATCCTACTTTCCCAAACTCACAATAAAATTATAGGTCAACTGATAGAGACAGTGTACTAAGACTATGAACTCTCACTTTCATTAAGAAATCTTGGTACATCTCTGTCTGACATTTAAAACTCTTACACAAAATTCATTCTAATGCCAAAAGAATAACCTAATAAGCTGGTTTTGAGAAAATATAAATTAACAACCCACTTTAAGAAATTGATGAAATTGTTGTTAATTCACTTTACCTTTTGACCCTTTATATATCATTGTCTTTTTAACAAGAATAACTTTACAAAGAATCTGTTCTTTTGAAAAATACTTCTGGATTCCTTTTCCAATACTTAAAATATCTTTCTTTGACCCTAGATAAACCAGTATTGAGTAAACAACTTTAAATGGACTTCTGCAAAAATATACTGAACAGAAGTAGAGAATTTTGGTCTTAAAATTAAGACCGTATCTAGACAAATATTTTTGGCTCCAGTATTACCTTGATTGCTAGCTAATCTAGCAAAAATGGTGGGTCTCTCCTGAGCATCTAGGTAAAAGCTTTCTTCTACACTGGCTACAGCATCAAGCTAGCAGAACAGAGGTGTTAGCAGGAATCAGAACAGTTAGTTTCCAAGGGAGAAAAGTACAAATAGGGTTATATAATAAAGCATTCAAAATGTTTGAGACACATATCTGCAAGAATAGCATAAAGTTTGATGAAAAAATTTAAAGTTAAAATTAAAACAGACAAATAAAGATAACAAAATAGGGTGCAAAGCAAGCAGAATATATGAATATATAAGGACTAATCTTTCATCATGCATCTATTCAAACCGTTGACATTACAGTTTAAAAATTACATGTACTATGAAAGAATATATATCACAAACCAAAAGTAATGACAAAATGTAATGAAATAGTATGAAAACTTTTCACAGTTATGTAATACAGACAAAACATTGCAACAGCTACAAAAAATTGTTTTTTCATTCAAACAAAATCATACTCCCCTCTCCCTCTGAAATTTGTGTTAATCACAGGTAATTGCCTTGCATTCACTATATATCGTGCACAATATATCAAGAATCTTTCTCCAAACTAATAATAATTTACCTGAAAGAATAACTATTCAGGTGCTATGTATATTATTTAATTAATTCATTCATTAATTAATGATTGCTGGACAGAGGATTTTTTAAATTCTAAAATAATGACAAATATTTCATTAATATTCACAAAATGTGTTCAAAATGGGTAAAAGGTCTTTCATTACATTTTCTAAATTACATATTAACAGTACTTAAATACTACAGTTATTAGCTAAATTGCTTTCTCTTCAGTTAGCACACAAATGAGGGCACAGTTCAATACACTTGGTTGTGAACTACAGGGAGTTGTGTTAGTTGGGCTCTTTAAATCATAAGTAGGAACTGATTACTTAGAATCAATCTTCTCATACTCATAAAAGGTGGGAGCAGATGTAGTAATTTGAAGAAAACAGAGGTGGTGTCTTCATTGTTTTTCTTTAACTTCATTTTTTTTGTAATGTTCCAAGATAGGGTATTTAGTCTACAGCTTTCTGTGTGAAACAAAAATTCCAGCATGCAAACCTGTCTTTGACACCATGTATCCCCAAAATATACCTTAATAATAAGTAAGAGATAAAGAAAAAATAATAAAAAAACAGAAAATTTCTGGGTTTTTTAATGAAGAGAAGTTACCATTTTAGAGGTCAATACTCAGAATGTTTGACTTACTACAGGAATAGGCTGACTCAATTGAGTGTGTCTCATCACAGTAGATAAATTATGAATTCTATACATTTACATTTTCATATTGACAGATCCACATTTGTGCAATGGCTGCCAGGCATACTGTTTAAATATATGATAGTCAAAAATATATTTTTGTTTATAAATCTAAACAAATCAGGGGGATAAACAGTTACCAGAAAATGTGTTTGCATGTAAGAGTCACTTCAAAGATGCATATCATGATACTATTCCTTGCACTTTAGACATCTTTTCTTGTTATTTCTGATTAATCTTAATTTCCCATCATATATTATTTAACTGTAAATTCTTCAACTAATAGTTATGTGTTTCAAAAATCAAATGTTACACTGTGTTCTTTAAAAGTGCATCTCAAAGCAGTTAAGCCCACACAAAACATACATTTTGGCCCAAACCAACTTGTGAATCTCTCTCCAATTCAAGATACTTCTTATTAGCTGCTGTAAAACAAACAAGCTATACTTACGAGTAATGCTATGAAAAATATCTGAGTCTTAGCACTTGTTTAAGGAGGAACAGGTTAATAATTTTGGGGAAAATTCAAAAGGATATAACTATTGTAATCACATAACCATAAGCCAAGTGCTTAATTTGACCTATCATTCATAAAACTGAACAAAAAGCTACATATTCAGTCATTATCTTTTCTTTTCTTTTTTTTCTTTTGCTGAACTCACAAAATAACAACACTGCAAATCCAGTAAAAGAAAAATATAAGGATTATAAGGCCAGACAAGAATCCAATCCAGTTTGATCTGGTCAAAACCAGATCAGAATTCTGATCTAGACTAGGTTCAAATTTTCAATCACCTAGACCAGATCAGAATTTCCATCTGGTATAAACCAGATCAATATTGCCAACACTTCATAAATGCAGTTTTGACATCTTTGAAAGGGATTTTAGCTTAAATGTAATACTGGTGCAATCACAAATATGTACTTCAGAACTGGATAAAGTGCATGTTTCTTTTTATATTTGAATGTGAAATAAAGTTAGAACAATTCAGGATTCAGACAACACTAACTCACAAAATAAAATAGTTCCATTTTATTTAGGTTTTGATGGAGTTATTTACTTACATGTTATTAAGTGACAGGAAATTTGTATAGGTATGATAAAAAAGTTTCTTTTTACTTGGGATAAGGATTCCTCCTTACAGTTCAGGCAGGACTGGATTCATATCAGGCCTCTGACTTATGTCAATATGATTTAGACTGGATGTTTAATAATTCCATCATGCTATAAGAAGCTGCTCTAGATCTGAATTAAACACTAATAAATAGTGAGGGGCAGAGATGGTACCCAATGTTGATGCAAGGATAATTTCACATATATTAAAGTTCCTTTCAGGGATTAAATGGGAGCAATTTCCAGCAAAAGCAATTTCCTATTTTGAATGTTTGCAGTTCAAGGCAATAATCAGGTGCCATTGTTCTTAAATTTACAACTCAAATTATTGGTAAAATAGAGATTTTCAAAATCCAATAACATCAATCACACTTGCAAAGTGAAGAAAGAAGGTTAGCATGCTAAACTAAAGAAATATAGTTGCTATCTAGAAATCTGTACTACTGTTGTGGTAGAGGCAAAAGCCATCTCACCTACAGCATTTACAATAATCTGCACTACATGAAAATTTGAGTTGCTTTTTTTTTTACAGAAAATCAAAGACTAGAAAACATCATTGCTTTTGTACTCTATTTTTACATCTAAACAGGGTTCCTAAAAACCTTAAAAATGAGGTTAGAGAGACTAAAAGGTTCATCATGCAGAAAATGAAGCATTACAAAGATCCAAGGGGCTATATACTAGTATATACATACATGTATAACAAAGGAGTCATTCTGACAGAATATGCAGCAAATATGAAGTAAATTGCCCTTTATCATAGGACAGGTTAGTATTGTGGTATTGACTGTCAGATCTCTGAGGCAGGTGTGACAATATAGAAGACTATCATCCCAAATGCATATAATGATATTACTCATTAGGGAATTATTTAAAAAATGATGGATAGCTAGAAATGAAACAGGTGACAGTCCTTGTAAAATCAACAACAAATGCATATATACAGGCTTGGGGCAGTAGTAGCTTAAATAATCATATGAAAATGACAAAGTTGCCTAGCAGAAGGGGGAGAGGGCAGCAAATATGGTTGAGTGAAAACAAAACAAAGTGTGTGTAACAGAAGGCAAAGACAGTGTACTTACAGCAGCCTGGTACATAGAAGTGTCCAAGTGGTCTAGAATAACAGTGCAAAGGCAACACACAGACATGTGAAATAACAGTAAAGTGAAGTGAAGAAAGAAGCCTGAGCAAAAGCAATTATCAAAGTTCACTGCAAAGGTGTGCATAAATTACACTTTTTACCAGAACGGTGACAGATAAATCAAGTGAAAGCCTCCTCAAAACTTTCATACATTTTATGATCTTTTTATCATAGATATCTTCAAAAAAGATCTCCATAAGAATATTAATGGGAGTGTTGAAAACAAATTACTCTCTGCATGAAAACATGACATTAGGCTTGAGTAAGTGATACACTGTTACATATGAGATTATCACACTCAAACAATCTTGAGATATGGGACAGAGCCAGGTATTATGACAGTACTCACTGCAATGTTCCACAATTCTTTATATTACAATATTAAACAGCTAACAAACATAAAATGAGAAGTACTCAGGTGAGCAAATTTGAAGTGCAAAGTTTAGGACACAACTGATGACATTTAGTTGAAAACAAGGTTAAATTTAACATATCCATTCTTTTTAAAATTTCTTTTTTAAAACCTTGTTTTGTTGGTATCACAGCAGTTGAAACTATATAGGTGGGATCACATAACACAAGTGCTGGAACAATTAAGGTAATCAAATATATCAGAATAAATACCAATGCTTGTAATGCACAGAACATTAACAAAAAATTTGGATGTTTCAAAGTGTAGCAAACATACTACAATAAGTAATTCAAAACACTCACCCTCAAAACCTCCCTCTGTGTCATCCTGAAATAGAGTTTAACAATAAACATAATTGCAATCATGAATAATAAAATTTAGATTTTATTACTTAAAATCTCCACCACATTTTAAAAGAAGTTAGAAAACAAATCACAGTGCATTTGTTACACCAACAAGTCATACTTACCATACCGTCTTCCCATTCATCCGAGTCCCAGTCATACGTATCATCATTGTTATTATTACTCTCTGAAAATCAAACAAGTCCAAAAGTTCTCATTAACACCCATTTTTTATTCAAACTTGATGACAAATAAAATTATCAAAATATAAGTTTGGAGGTCATGCTTACAGATTCTAAGCTTTAGAATGATAGCTTATTTTCCATTTAAATAATAGTGCATTGAATAAATAATACAAATCTAACAATTTGGTTTCTGAAGTAAATGTTCTTTGTTAACTGGTGAATATTTCAAATGCTAAATGCACCCCAATTACTTTAAGATTATAATAAATAAATAAAATAATCATAACAATAAGCTAAAATCTATAGTGTTTAATTGCCAATATCACATTCTGAAAACCAAAACTGGGCTTTACAACTCAAAGCAATATGTCTACCAAAGATATCAAGTATAAATCAATTATATATATATTCATGTACCTGGCTTGAAATCTTTTGGTGGAGGTGCTGGCTTGCCTATACCTAGCTTGTTGCCTAGTTTACCAATTCTGCAAGGATCAGAATGTACATTAAACAGCTTGCCTAAAATTCAGCAGTGATAATAAAGACACTTTACTGTAGACAAAATGCCCCAATGAAGGGGTGATGAAGTTCATTTATAGCTCTTTACTCAATATATGCAGGGCTTCAATAATGATCTCAAAACAAGGAAAAGTATTATAAAATTTAGAATAAAGAAGTACTAGCAACAAATGGACAACTTTGAAATTAAGATTATTGAAGTGCCAAGACACCTTTAATGTAGATAATAATGGCAACTGCTCACAAAATTCTAACAAAATTCTGATCTCAATGTTTTGTAATAACATATAAAAAGTTAATTGGACAGTTCCCAAAAAGGGCCCCAATTCACATCAAAAGCATTCTTTTAAAACTGATAACAATAAATCTTGAAAGAAATAAGATTATCTATATGATTGTTCACATAAATATTTTGGTCTGAAAGAAGTATTTATTATCACAAAAATGCTACAACTATAATACCAGAAAAAGTGAAGATTTGCCATTTGTGACAGCGATATATTATCATACAATTGACAAAAATGATAACAACAATACATAGAATGCTGTTTGACTGCTTCATGCAAGATGGAGATAAAATGTACTTATACAACTTGTGAGACAAAATCATCTTTAAGCTGAAAATCTTTATGCCAGTATATAAATTGACACATATAATGACAGCAGATACTACGGTAAAGTCTTGAAAATTTCGTTGCTTAAAAATTAATTAATATTTTTAATTGTGTAAATCCGACTAATTTTTCAAAATTACCTCTACCCGACTCCTGGGTATGACGAAATTTTCAAAAATCTGGCCTTTGGGCTTTTATCCTTAGCGACTGTTATCTTTGACCCTCCTATATGGTAGGATATTTATTACTACTTCCTATTAAGTCATTTTCTGGTGGTAAATAATAATCTATTTATTAGTGCATCTCGATTAAGTTATATTTAATTTACTGTACCCGAAAACATGTTGAGAATTATTTTCTCAGTAAGAAACATACCTCCTGATAGAGGAGAATGATCAAGATAAGCCTAATTGCAACCTTGCATAATAACCTGGACGCGACATGTTTAAAAAAAAATACGCACTTGGGAACGTTTGTTGCATGCAGGGCTTTTCTATGGGCGGCGGTTTATACAAAAATGCAAAACACATTTAGTCGTCATCGTTATCAGATCAGTCGAAATGAAAACACGATTAGTCGTCGTCGTTATCAGATCAGAAGGCAAAATACGACTAGTAGTCATCAAAACGCAACTAGTCATCAAAACTCATATTCCTCGCTCGAACTCGAGAATTATCTCGAGTTCGAGATATTATTATATATATAATATCATTATTAGATTGTACGCGTAGAGATAATTCTCGAAATAATAAATAATTAAATAATTTATTAAATAATTTGGACATGTTATAAATTAAAAAAAAACAAAAACACACACTTGTGAAGCACTGCTTTATTGTTGTACTCATTTCACAAGTTCCAGATATTATTATATATATAATATCATTATTAGATTGTACGCGTAGAGATAATTCTCGAGTTCGAGCGAGGAATATGATAATGCTGCTTCAATAACGTCCGCCATTTTGATCACTGTGGATCATGTGACTTGGCCTAGATTTTCGTACAATGGGCGCCATCTGGCGTCAAATTGCGTTTTGATGACTAGTTGCGTTTTGATGATGACTAGTTGCGTTTTGATGACTAGTTGCGTTTTGATGATGACTAGTTGCGTTTTGATGACTAGTTGCGTTTTGACGACTACTAGTCGTATTTTGCCTTCTGATCTGATAACGACGACTAATCGTGTTTTCATTTCGACTGATCTGATAACGATGACGACTAATCGTGTTTTGCATTTTTGTATAAACTGCCGCCCATACTTTTCCCAGGACTGAGTGTCAGGCCTTCTAAAATTACCATCTGTAACTTCCTAAAAATTTACAGGGAGTTAAAATAATGATCTCCCGTTGACGATCTTCCGCAATTTAAGTTCCTTGAACTAATTTGAAGACTGCATTTTATTATTGCTTACAGCGCGAACAATCTCCCGATGAAGATGTGAAAATTGCCTTTTCGTCTAGCAAGGATCGCGAACGATCTTCTGCTGACGATCTTCCGTGAACAAAGTTCCCTAAATCCCTTGAACTAATATGAAAATTGCATTTCATTCTTGCTTACATCGCAGACGATCTCCCAATGATGATATAAAAATTGCCTTTTCGTCTCGCTCGGATCGCGAACGATCTCCCTCTGACGATTTTACGCGAACAAAGTCCTGGTGATAGTACGCAAACGATTCTCCGCCGTGAGCGGGGAAGGGGGGTTAAAGATAAAACTAAATATATATATTATTTATAATATTCAAAGGGGGAGGCGGGGTTAAAATAATGATCTCCCGCTGACGATCGTTCGCAAACTCAGTTCCTTGATCTAATATGAAAATTGCATTTCATTCTTGCTTACATCGCGAACGATCTTCCGATGATGATATGAAAATTGCCTTTTCGTCTCGCTCGGTTCGCGCCCGATCTCCCTCTGACGATCTTACGCGAACAAAGTCCTTACGATATTATGCGAACGATTCTCCGCTGAAGATATGCCGTGAGCGGGGGAAGGGGAGGTTAAAGATAAAATGAAAAATATATATTATTTATAAAATTCAAAGGGGGAGGGGGGTTTAAAATAACGATCTCCTGCTGACGATCTTCCCTGAACGAAGTTCCCTTGAACAAATATGAAAAGTGCATTTTATTCTCACTTACATGGCGAACGATCTCCCGCTAAAGATATGAAGATTGCCTTTACGTCTCTCTCGAATCGCAAACGATCTCCTGCTGATGATCTTATGCGAACGGAGTCCGCTACAAATATGAAAATTGCCATCTTGTCCCATTCGCATTGCGAACGATCTCCATGTACGAGCCAGGTAATCGTTAAATGGTCCTAAATTAAACATGGACATGAATAGAAGTGACGGGTACATTTCACTTCAAGATAATATCTTGATTTTTTCATTGTGTCTTCCTCATTTAGGACAGCCGCCGATAACAATAACGGCGTTACAAATGACAAAGCCGCGGCCTGTGACTTCTATTTGCCGGCTTGATAACGCACCTTAAGCCAGGTAATAGTAATGCAACTAAAGACAAAAGGCTGACGTTCCCGCAGTTGAGAACAGGAATTCACATCTAAACCATCTATATTGTGAGTAACCGCTCGCAGGGGCGCACTATTGTTCCTATCTCCCATTGAGAGTGTTATTGGCAATGATATCCTGATCGTATCATTGTCTTGAATCAACTGACGCATTACCTTCATGTTTGAGCTGGACAACGCGGCCATATTTGGTGACGAACTTTTCAAAAATTATCGAGTACCTCATTTTCAAGGTCGACGAAGTTTTCAAAGGGAAAAAAAAGACATCGGCGGAAAATCGTCTGCCGACGAAATTTTCAAGACTTTACCGTATAGGACATGGTACAAAGTACATAAATAATACATATCAAAGAATGGAATTAATGTGCATCACGAAATGCTCACTGCTCAAAACCTAAAAACACACCCATGACAAAAGCAATAAATTGCATCTGTTTGAGTACAAATAATCAACCACAAGCAAGCACCACTTTTTGAATGAAATACCTCCCAGTTAAGACATGCATAATCACCCTGATCAAAAGAAAGTATTCACATTCTCATAAAAATTGTTAAAATATTTATAAAAATGTAATCTATAAAATGGCAGCAATGACAAATTGGTATTGATGGGATTTGGACTAAACATTGTACAGACTTCATCTGTTTTTCTAAACACCTTATTTTGTCAAATGAGGTGAGTTTTGATAAATGAAAAAATCAACTATACATCTATTGGTAAACTGCTGTTCTCAACAGCATCAGGCCTTATACCAATATTGGTCTATAAAACAGTGTTATACTATCCAGTTGAACAGTAAAATTAATCATAATAAATACTTATAGCCAACATATAACCTTCTCAAAAAGATACACATTTCCAACTTTTTAAAGGATAAAAATGCATTATTCCATTAAAAACTTACATTAAAACCGTGTGTTCTAAGTAATATCTCCATATATGCATGCAGAAAACTATTTCAAAATAAAACATCAATCAAAGTTGTCTTCAAAATGCATCTTACACATCAATCAAAGTTGTCTTCAAAATGCATCTTACACATCTGTCACTGACACACTGAAATACTACAAACAAATATGGCATGCAAGGTCTTCTAAACAATCCACTGCCATACCTATTAAATTGCTACCAAACCAGGATCATCAAATCTTTGTGCAGATGTTTCATAACAGCATTAAAAAAGGGATAGAAAAATAAGTTGATAAAATTGGCAAAACTGTGTATGTTCCCAAAGGGTTGAGGTTAATGATTATTTTCCAAGTTACCCCTCTATATTCAGTTGAGCCTTTTTAATACTACGTATGTTAATTAATACATATCTAAATTTAGAATCTAGTGCCCTTCCACCATCAAAATAAAAACACAAACAAAACGAGTTAGCCCTAAACATCATCATAATTATATCAGTTATAGCTACCGGTATGTAAAAATTTAAAGCTCAGTACAAGCCTTAAGCAATTTTTTTATTTTCATTGTCAGTCAAAAGTGCATGTTTTTGAGATATTTTCTTGTCTTGCCTACACCACTTGCCTTTTTTCTTAAAGATATTTTGAGATAGCATCTGGTCAGTACACATGTGCTACCACAACGATTCAAATGGTTGTACAAGAATTTTTGAAAAAAACTGTGCTAAAAATGAAAGGTCTATGAATCATTGTCATAGGATTGGTTTTTTTTCCTACACAATTATATTTCACTTATCTCAAATTTTAATCAATCATGCAAAGAAATTGGTAGTCATTTGAATCTATTTTAATATCATTAAAAGAAGCTTATTTACAATTTGTAGATATAAACATCCACCCAACAAAAAGAGGAGCAAAAAGAACACCATTCTCTTGGAAGCCACATTATCACCCAAGGGTATAAAGATTATTATCATATGTCACTTTCTGTTCAAAATGAAGTGAAACATGCATTTTCATATCCCAATGTAATAAGCTACCCATTCCAATATAAAACATTGTTTTAAAATTACTACCTGGTCACTGTTTCAGAAAGACTTTCTGACATCTCAGACAGCTTGTCAGAGACAGAAAGACGGAAAGCCAAACTGCAAATAATGTTCCAAGTCCAAATTAATATCACCATAATGATTGTATCATTATCAACCTTACTTCAGTTCTTAATCACAACTTGTCTGCTAATGTGAAGGACTCATATTGTGTTTAAAAGATGACAACTGAACACAAAATGTGAGATTTTATGGTGAATATAAATTAAAAATTTTAATGCATGTGAAAACTAAATAAATCAAGTAAAGGATATTGCAATTACTTATAAAAAATCTGAAAAGTTAAACAATTGTCTTCTGGTTAATAGTCTGAGTACATATTAAATTGTGAGTTCTGTTTTAATAAATAAATATTTAAATACAAATCCGAAGCACTGGTCAGGATACATACCCTTTAGTTGGTTTGTTTTCTGTTTTGGCAACAGCATTGACTGCCTTAAGAATTTTCCTACAAAGTAAATTAAAGTATTTCAGTATATGTGATTATACAAACTTGTAATATATATTGAAAATTCTTCATTATAAAAAATATTTATAATAGAAAAACACAGATGTCCTAGTCTCAGCATGTTCAAATAATGTCAGTGCAAAAAACAGCATACTGAAATAACAAATTCTACTGTTTATCTTTGGGCAAGCTGAATCCTGCAAATAAAATAGAAACTGAGGCATTATTATTATTTGTTTTATGAACGGCCACCAGGTAAAATTATGTTTATCACCTATCATTACTTGTCATGAATGCTTATTAACAATTCTCGGCCTGAAGGGTTGTAAAACATCAGTTTAAACAGATATCATTAATTTTGCACATCATAAAGTTAAAGGTGACCTAATATTTTATCTCATGGAGTGATAAATACATGACTTGCAATCATCTGCCATAATACATTTTTGAAGCATTTAACAGTTACTAGTAAAAGTAATTTCAAAATGCACTTGGTGGTATTAACATTTTAAAAAAGTTTTATAAAAGGTCTCTACACTAAATGAGAAAGGCAGTGTATAGAGTACCCTATCCATGATAATATCTAAGATTATATTGGTGCATTCTCATAAGTGCCATATATATATATATATACAGAGAGAGAGAGAGAGAGAGAAAGAGA